TTTCTCAGTTTCATTCCCAAGTTTTGAAACTTTTGAATTGTAAATTTAACTTGGCTTTAAATGCATGCTTGGAACTTTTTTGTTGACTCAAACCGTGAACTTTAGTAGCTGGAAGAAATTTAATTTTAAACAGACAATTCTGTGTTGTAGCACTAAATTTCGGTTTCAGCCGCAAATTTTTTTCGATTTCTTCAAGTGTACAATTGGACTTAAGACGTAATTGCTTTAAACACGTAACTTCCAGTTCAACCGCAGGCTCCGCCGTTTAAAGACAAATTTCGACTTAGAAATTTTAGTCGCTGCTTCCAATAACTTCCAGAATTAAATCCAAAGAAGATTTATTTCGTTTAAATTCGAAGTTTAGACTTGTAAAGGCAATTTAAAATCAAAATAAACTCGTTTGGGTTCATTATAAGCATTTTTTCAAGCTGCACTCGAAAACGCGAGTTTAATTTTTTTTACAATGTTTAATACTTTAGACATTAAATTCCTTTTTTTTTCAAAACCGTTTGGTTTTGAAGGTTTAACGAAACAACTTTGTATTTTTAGGTTTTTCGACATTTATCGGTAAAAACGTTCAATTTTAATTTTAAGTGGAAAACTTCATTCAAAATGTCCTTTTTGGATAAGAAAATGTACTGGATTTTTAACGTAGAGTTGGAAAGTTAAATATAATATTTAGTCGTTTTCGATCAGGCCTGAAATATCAATTTAAACAAAAATTTAAGGTCTCTTTTGCTGCTTAAAATTAAACTTTTAAACGTAAAATTCGGTCAATTTCAACTTTGTTTTTTCAAGTTAAACCTGAGGTTTTGACCTTAAATCTAAATTGCTCCTTTAGACTCAAAAAATGAGTCTTTGGGTGCTTTACGGAAAGTTTGTACTTTGAACGTAAGATCATGTTAATTTAATCAGTCTCAAAACATTGTTTTCATGGGAAAACATTATACTAAAAATACAACACATACAACTAAAAGGGAAAATTTCTGCTTAAAACTGTCAATTTTTAGTTTCAGTACCAAAATTAACTTTTTTTGTACAAAGGCTTTAGGCGCCAGAGGAAGACATGATTCGAAGAACTATCAAATTTCAAAGTTCTTGAGAGTTTTTCGTTGTAGAAAATTAGATTTTCACAAAAACAATACAAATATTCAAATGTTGAATCTGATGTTTCGATGTTAAATCCAAAAATGCGACTTTGGACTCAATCTTGGGTTTTTGAATGGCAAAATTCGACGTTTCGCGCAAAGTTCGTGTTTTGGATATATTCTGAAGTAAATTTAATCAGACTCAAAACATTATTTTTAAATGAAGACGTTCAATTGAAAATTTAATTTCCAAGGCCAAAAATATTGTTTTGCCGCAAAGTTACAGGTTTAGACCCCCAACTGAACAGATTTAATCCAACTCAAGACATGGCTTTAAACGAAAAAAATCCAAAGTTGTACATATTTTGTTGGGTCTAAAATACAAAAAATTGACATCAGACGCAGAGTTGCATCATGAATACCAAAATTGGATTGTCAAATTGAGTCGATTTTCGTTCGCTTCCCCCAAAAAAAAATCAGTTTTCAGACTTAAAATAAAATAAGTTTTGGTATTAAACGCAAATCCTGAGTTTAAACTAAAAAGGGTATCGTTAAATGACAAAATGGAATTTTCACCTGAAAGGTAACAAAAATAGTTTTTAACTAATAAGTTTAGAGTAACAACTTATCCAATTCAACATTAACTCTTTTGGATTTTTAACCCAAAGATGCGAGTTAAACTGGCGACTTTCAATGAGAACCTCCCAAGCTTATCGAAGAAGTAGGACTTTAAATGTAGAATAAAGTGAAATTAATCAGATTCAGAAGTTCATTTCCAATGTTTAAGATGAAATATCAATATTAAATGTAAAAACCCGGCTTCATATTCCAAATCTCCGCTTTCAATGGTTTTACCTAAAATGGAACGTTATTACGTAGTTAAGCAGTCCTTTTCAACATAAAACGTTGAAATTTGTGGCTCCAAATTTCGTCTTTCAGTGCAATTTTTCGGCTTCATAGATAAAATATCGATATTCCATACAAAATCCAGCAAAAAATATAAATAAATATCCTTAAACCATCGTTTTCAATAAAAAAATGTTCAATTTCAATGTTTAGCGACAAATACCTATATTAAATAGAAATTTGGGCTTCAAACACAAAAGTTTACCTTTCAAAGGCAAAGTTAGATCTTCAGCATAAATTGGATACTTTGATGGCCAAGTTGGGGCAATTTATCCAGACTAAATGTTGTAAATGTGTAAGTATTAAATTCGGCTTCAATAACAAAAATTTACCCTTTAAACTAATTTTTTGACTTTCAGTAAGGTTTAATGGAAAAACTGAGTAAATGTATCAAGACCTAAACACCGTTTTCAGACAAACACGGTCAATTTAAATTAGTTAAGGTTCAATCAAAATTCTATCTTCTAATCTGAATTTCCGAAGCGTTTTCCACATTGAAGTGTTTTTTCCAAAGTCAAAACTATTTTTAATAGAATTCAAAAAAATTCGGTCTAAAGTTCATGTTTGGGAAAATTACCACTGAAATTTCGAGCTTGAACCTGCAAAGTAGTTCAAAATATCTGGTTTAAAAGAGACATTTTGACCTCAAAATCCACTTAAGTGACTAGAGAATAATCTACTTTAAGAGTTGAAATAATTTGAACTTCTGAATGAATTATAACAATTAACATAAAACGTTTGAAATTCCCTGAAAAACGCTGCTCCATCAACGTTTTAAATTCCAATTTTCCTGTCGATTAAGGTTGCTTGTTCATCCCGCGAATATTCCGGAATTCATTGACCATCTATTACACCGGCATCGCATTTAATACATCCGTAAAAGGATTAACTTCCAGCTGAGTTACCAACCGGCCAATATCCTGGATATGGAGCATACATTGGAATATTTAAATTATTTGCCGGGAGTAGGTAAACCAGGCGACAAAACGATACTCCCGAGGGAAGAGATTGGGCCCCTCCTCCAAGCGACCTGAACGGGAAAATCGATTTTTAATCACCTTATTGAATCGTCTCATATGTGACGGTTTAATTTCCACCCACTTTCCAATGCGTTTCAGCTCATTGGCGAGAAATTCTACAGTTGTAATGGCACTTTTAATTAGGTTTTATGTTGGGCCCCGTAGGGGTTTTCTTTGATGTTTCGTCTGTGAACTATTTATTTCTTATTTTAAAATTGCTTTGTTGAAAAACGGAATTTTACGGTTTTCACATCATGTCGGTCAACACGTTGCCAATTTCCCAGCTAAAAGGCTCTGTAAATAGCAATTTAGTGTTGGCCATTATCAAGGGAGAACCGCGCTACGCTATATGCTGAAACTAAATAGTTGCTTTGTGCTAAGAGCGACTAAAAGCTGCGTCAGCTTTCAACGGGAATATTCCAGCTGAAAGCTGATAAACTGGCTAAAACACGAAATTCTGGCAACTTAATGACACTTTGGCAAATGAAAATGAGAAACAACGAGGTATATTACGGGTCTGATGAAGATTCGAAAAGTTTACCAATAATAAAATTGCCGACTGAAACGCAGCCTCGCAGCAGTTTATACAAACATTTTAAATTAAAATAAAACACAATTTATCCAGAGGATCCATAATTTAAATCATCCAGCTCGCTCTTCGCTACCTTTCGCGATATTACCAGAAAATTCGTTTTCTCAAGCCAACTCGCAAAGTAATTAATGAGGCCAGTGTCTTGTTGCACAACAATGGGCCATTAAATGGGCCTCTGTTTGGCTTTATTGTTCGGGAAGAGATAACTTCAACGGTGCAAAAGAAGCCACATATGTAGGCCTAATTTCGAAGCTTGATGAACAAACATAAGAAGGAAAATAGACATAAATGTGTATTTAAATAATTTGCTTCTAGGCCTGGAAATCCAATTTTCGACTTTTAAGTAGTTGTTTCATTCAAAGTTTGCATTGCATTTTCTGAGGTGTTTTGCTTCAAGGCTTTCACTGGACACTGAAAAACACTGTTTTTCTTGGGCCAATATTTTCAAGTCTGCTTGGGGCTTAAAAATAGCGGAAACGTTGGCCACGTTCAAAGTATCAAATGATAAAGATTTCAATATTTATTTTTGAAGTAAGAAGTTGTACATTTCAGCAGAAAAACTTTAAAAGGCATTTTGGTTGCCAACTGAAAGAAGCATTCAAAAATTATTTTTAGTTGCATAAAAACCATTGGTAGTATTTTTATCTGGAAAGTATCAAATGCTAAATATGACGAAAATTTTCCCGGACAATGCAACGGTTTCTATATTTTGAAAAAAAGCTGCGCATTTCCGCATAAGACGGCAAAATGATTGGTTCCATAGGTTCCATTGTAGCCATAGGCGTGCATGTTTTTTTTTCTGCAAAATATCCAATCTTGCGGTAGTTTTTCCGGACAATACAACAGAGATTTAATTTTTTTATTCAAATACTGTGCTTTTTGTCAAATCATCCCAAAGACCTTTTTTGTTGCCCACTGAATCTAAAACTGAAATATAATTTTTACTGGCAAAAAAACCATTTGCTCGGTTTGATTTTTATCTGGAAAGTATCAAATGCTAAATCTTGCAGTAGTTTTCTCGGATAATACAACGGTTTTAATTTTTCTAATCAGTAAATGTGCCTCTTTTTGCAAAAAAAAATAAGTTATTTTCCGTTCTCAAGCAAATACGAGAGCAAAATACAATGTGAAACAACAAAGCAAAATGTATGTTTATTGTTTATAGAAAAGAGATGAAATATAGCAGTTTTTCCATAATTTTAATGGAGAGCCGAAAGCGGAGCGATTGTTGAACGTAATTTTTCGTTTTTTTGAAGATATTTTAATTTTGTATTTTTCAGTGCTTCCTGTTTGTAATTCGTCTACTCTTTTGAACTGTTCGTTTTTCTCTATTTTTTATGTGTTTCTAGCACCAGAAAAGATCGCAGCACTTATAACATTTCCCTTCGATTTCAGCCGCCCAAGCATGCGTAGATCATCAGTGGCCCGCCTGCAGTCGCAAACCTCAGAGCCGCAGATCGTAATCGAAGATCAGGAAAATGAAGAAGAGGCCCAGAAAACCAGCAGCTCCCAGCACAGTTCCGAGGATGGATCGCCCACCATGAACCCCTACCTGCTCTCCCCATATGCGCGCGACATTAGAAAGCACTCCCTTCCAACTCCCCAATGTAGCGGAATAACCGCGAGCCAAATCCGAAGACTTTCTGATCGGGGGGACGCCTCCCCAGGCCCCCGGCAAGCCGAGTTCCTGGCAACGCTGTCGCAGGCTCCTCAAGTATCTCCTGGAGGGCGGCGACATTCAGTGGTCACCATCTCCAAAGTTCCCCCTGCATTTTTCGGAGGTGGAAGAAATCGCCGAGAATCGGTAGCCGCTTTCCCCACAAGTTTTCCGCCCCGGATCTTACCGAATCGTAGGGAATCCATTGCATGCCCCCCATCGACTGAGTCGCGTGGCAGCGTCCATAATCTACAGCTGGATATAATGGACGACATTGTACAGGCGAGGAAAGTACGAATGAAAGTGTGGAACACGAGCAGCGAAAAACTGTGCGAAGTCCAGCCATTGGACGAGGCGTCTGGCAGTGCGCAACGATATACAAATTCCGGACGAAGATTTTCGGATTTCATTGGAACCACGCTTCCTCCTATTCCAAGCTCGACTAAGCGCAGAGCTTCAGAACTGCCGCCCCTACCAAGCGCAAGTAAGATTAAGTCCGGCATTGTTTGCACTAATACTGATCTGATATCTATTTTGTCTTCTCTTTCCACGTCCGCTATGGAAATCAATCAGTGGGAGAGGGAAGTGCAGAGCCCGACTCTTCCAACGCAACTGAGGACAGCTAGAACAAAGGGCAAACGCCCCCAGCTGAAAAGCTGCAGATCCAATAGCTTTGATGTATCAGTGCTGCAGAAGTTGGAGAATTCATTGCCGATTAGAAAACTGGACACCGGCACCAAGCCTCAACCACAAACCCCTTCAAATTGGTTCGCCAATAGACACCAACCCAGAACCGGGCGCTTAAACGAGAAGACGTTGCTCTTGGAGAACCTGAGCAAGAAGGTTGTGCGGAAGGAACCAGCCAAAGTCCTCTGGGACGAAAGAAGCGGCTCCTTAGTGGACGCACAGGCTCTAGGCACTGCCATAGAAGGATTCCTCAAGAAATCCTCTCCAGATTCTCCAGGCCCCAAAGAAGCCCCTTCGCCTATTAAGGGCAGCAAATTAACTGAGCGCGTGATGGGGGCTGCTAATAGAGTGCTGAGCGTCGCTAATAGAGCGAATTGGTTCTCCAAGGGCGAAGACGACTCAGATCAGTGCGATTCGTCCATTTGCGCCACCCTCAAGGATCTTTTCGTTAAGTAACTGGAAGTTTTACGTTTTGCTAACAACACGATGCGGATGACGACTTGGAAAAGGAACGACTTAAGGCCGAGCGCTCGTGTGAGTTGGAAATTTGTGAAATGGGACCGTTAGATTGATTTCCTCAGAAGTTTGCATGTATTAGAAAGAGAGGCAAGGACCTCCTTGTCGATTTTCATCTCTTTCTAATATGCACACTTGCAGATTTTCCTTGTCGCGCTCATGCAGGTTTTAATAAAGTTCCTTAAATGCTGATTTTACTTAGAATGGGCAGACAGTCCAGATTTTCGTGGCGTTAAATATCTGACTCAGTCGAAGGCCTTAATAAACTCAGAGAACTCAGAACAGAGAAAAAACTGTCCTGGGCCAACTTTTCGGCTTTATTTTAGCAATCATCAGCCCTCTGGAAGTGAACAGTGTCTAGATGGTGGTTTGTACCCAGAAACAAATTAAGATTCAATTTGACAGGCGATATTCTGGCGATAGCCTATTTCTTCTAGCGTCCTGATGATGGCTAAATTATAGTCGAAATATTGGCGAAACCTTATACACACAAATTATTTTTTTTCTAAAAGTTCAGGTAAAATTGGACTTTTCCTGTAACTGACTATCGAAGTTGTGTTGATCCAACAACATCATCTGCGAAATCAACTAGTTTGGAAGGGTTTTTGCATTCAATCCACTACCCAAGACTTGACACAACAAACGTTAATTCCGCTTTGTCTTGTAGCTATTTCCACTTCAATTATGTCTTTTTCCATAGCATTTCATGTTATTTTTTAATCTTAATTTATATTCTCCTGGCTTTCAGTTTTACAACCAACACTTCTTCACCGCGAAAGCTCATACATTTAAAAAAAATTAAAATAAATAGCTGTATGAAAGTGCCATTGAGTAAATCTGGATTATCTCGCACCATTCCTCACTGAAGCTCACCATTGCCCCAAATACTAACGGAAACCAAAGCAAATGTTGAAATACGTAATTTACTAGAAACTAGGACAACTTTCTGGTTTCGGCACTGAAATCCAGCTTATCCTAATCCAGGTTTTATCCAAGACTGTGAAATATGAACATCGTAAATCTCGACTTGCTTCCACTGTACAACCCAGTCCGAATATTACTCCAGACTCGCGTTTGGTCTGATAACTGAATTAAGCGTCTTTTGTGACTGAGTGGAACAGAGCAGTGCGTCAGAAAGAGATCAAAGCCTTCTTGGCGGATTTTCGTTTCTTTCTAACATGAACTCTTGCTACTTTTTCTTGTTCCGCTCATACAACATCAAACGTTGATTCATCACTCCAGTATGCAATTGAAAACAATCTTTGACGCATATCCATAAACGAAAACGCATTTTTCTTCACTCAGCCCGAAATGTATCCAGCTAAATCGAGCAGTTTTGAGTTATTTTCATGTAAATCATACAAAGCGCTCATTAGGCTTGATTGAAATTTTGTGTAAATTAAAAAATGTAAATTTGCTTTTCATATCGGAGATTATACAGGGTGTTAAGCTAAGAGCTGAGAAACTGATGTGTAAAATACATAGAAATTATTTTGTAGATTGGACTAAATAGTTTTAAAAAAAACCTAATCAATCTGTTGGAGTTTGGGTTAGTTCTCAAAGACTGGCGGTTTCACCATTTTAAACCACATTCGCACAAAACAAACTATAAAGGGTAGAAATTCAAACAGTAAAATTTTGCTACCGAACCTGAATCCAACTTTATTAAGTCAGGACCGGGTTTGTGGTAGAAACATCAGGAAATCAAATGGAGCTGTTTCATAATGTACAGGGTGCTGCAGTGTAGAAAACGATTTACTTATACGATGCGACACCCTGTAACAATCCATATTAGTGAATATTTAAAATTGTATTTGTTTGTTTAGTTTTGAATATTTGTACAGTAATTATGGTGATTTTATAATCAACTTCGCAGGTCGAAGTAAACTGTTTAGACGAATTTTCAGTCAGAATTTATATTTGGACCATGTTTTATTAGTGACTGTATAATAGACAATCCCCCGTATTTATAGAGATAGTATTTTAGTCAATATACAGGGTGTCCCGTAAGCACATGATCAAAAGGGTACTGCTATATTGTTTGGATCAAAATAAGACGATCTGACATAACTTTTATTAACACAAAACGTCGGACTCCTCTGCAATTGATGGTCAAAATTCTCCAAAAAAATTATCTTTTTTGAAAAATCCGGAGAATGATTCGATGTATTTTGGTGAAACTCGCTGTGAATTTCTTCTTATGTAAGACTCATATTTTGATGAAACAATCGAGTTAGCCGTTTTGGACAAGTGGTGAATTCTTGAGTGTCGTGGTACAAAAACTACCAGAACTTTTTATTTGGTGGACGGAATCAACTCATTTTTTTTTTGGTTGATGCACTAATAATTTATTCACAATTGTCTGCTCTTTGTAAAGTCTTGTAGCATTCAGTTTTTGCCCAAAAAAAAATGTCTCTTTTCCTGCCACAACAATGTTGAACGTTAACTGCAAATATGCGCCGGGTAAACGCGTACGCTTTCACGCAAGTTGTCTTCGCAAAACCCTAATACCTTGACCATGTCGGTCGCTTCTTCATTAGAAAAGGTCAATCAAAACAAATTTGTGAGATTGATTAACAATTATTTTATACCTCGTATCACGATATGCGCAGTTAATGTTAACATTGTTAAGTGGCAAGAAAACAATTTTTTTTCGCAAAAACTATGCTTGCGACAAGATTTAACAAAGCGCCCAAAATTGTGAATAAATTATTAGTGCATCAACCAAAAAAAATTAGTTGGTTCCGTCCACCAAAGAAAAAGTTCTGGTAGTCTTTGTACCACGACACTCAAGAATTTACCACTTGTCCAAAACGGCTGAACTCGATTGTTTCATCAAAATATGAGTTTCACATAAAAACAAATTCACAGCTAGTTTCACTGAAATACATCGTACTATTCTCCCGATATTTCACAAAAGGCATTTTTTTTAAGAACTTTGACCAACAATAGCAGAGCCAGACATTTGTTGTTAATAAAAGTTATTCATCATATATATAACGATACTAATCATTATCAAAGAATATCGCAGTATCCTTTTGATCATGTGCTTACGGGACACTCTGTATAGGTAGAATACAAGAGGAGCTATTCTAGTGTATTACGCAAATGTATTAGTCAACATTTCTTGTTTGCAGGTGAATTGGACGCATATTTGCCAATACACTGGCAATAGAAAAGTAAGATCTTGTATTGTAAAATTGAACGTCAAAAGCTGCAATTCTAAACGATGTATATTTTCTTGGATATTGAATAATTAAAGTATATCTGGATGTTGTATTTTTAGAGAATATTACGTGTTACTATCTACTTATTAAATGTTTAAAAAGAGCAACCTATTTCACCAAACAATCAGTGTTTTTAACCGTACCTACCTTGATGTACATATGATTTGTTTATCTATGTTACATCTTTATCTTGAATGTTAATAAATGTTTCATAAAATAGTCAGCGTTTTATATCGAATTTGTCGCCTAAAGCGCTTTGCGGTTGAGTCTAATGAATTTTTTGAGCACGCGAGCATTGAATTAATAAATCAAGCAACTGTTTGCCTAATCGATGAAGGAGAACCAGGACAAGGAGCTAGCTGCGCTAGAAGGATCGTTGAACAAGTCGGTTAATTTAATGTTGTATTTATTAACACCTTGACGCGAACCAATGGTAAAAAAAATTAAATGCAAACGTTTATCACTAGAATAAAAACGCAAACAGCGTCAATCAGATCACATTGACTGATGTTAAACTAACGGAAAATCCTTGTTACTATGCACCTAATTAGATCTAGAGATTATTTCGGTAAACTGAATGGTTAAAGTCGGTGTTACTTGAACTTGAAAAGTGGAAAGGTACTCAATAGGTGCATCCTTTCACGGTATACAAATTGGACATTTACAATTGGCCGCAGTCAGCAACAACGATTTTCTTGTTGGCTTTGCCTGACTGGGAGCCCATGGCCTCGATTTTCTTCACTACATCCATGCCTTCCACCACTGAACCAAACACCACATGCCTGGGGACAAAACATCAATTAGTCAAGGTTCCAATGGCTTAACCACGGCGTTTGAGCCTTACCTATTGTCTAACCAGGACGTTTTAACTGTGGTGATGAAGAACTGGGATCCATTGGTATCAGGACCGGCATTAGCCATGGACATCACTCCAGGTCCAGTGTGCTTCAGGGTGAAGTTCTCATCCTCGAACTTGTTGCCGTAGATGGACTTCCCGCCGGTGCCATTGTGGGCGGTGAAGTCGCCCCCTTGGCACATGAAGTTGGGGATGACTCGGTGGAAAGTGGAGCCCTTGTAGCCGAACCCCTTTTCGCCAGTACAAAGGGCGCGGAAGTTCTCAGCGGTTTTGGGCACCACATCGGGACGGAGCTGTAAAAAAAATCATACAATAATCGCGGAAAATTCCATATAAGGTTAGGGGCAGCCTTGAAAGAACACCGGTTCCTCATATGAATCATAGGTGGGATCCATTGAAGCGTAACTAGCTGACCGGATTTTTGCCGGCTGAATGTCCAAACCACCAAGCTTAGGAGGATTTGACGCCGATAACGAGGAAAAAGCAGTCGGAAGTTGCCTTTGAGGCACCTTTCCACTGTGGGCAGCCGGTGACTTGCACTAAGCATGGTGGTTGGCCGAATGTGATTGTAAAAACGAGTAAAAATCGCGGAAAATCTGCACGTGCTCCACTCACCTCGATAACAATCCGTCCCTGGGGCTGACCGTCGGCGGTCATGTCGAAGAAAACCTTTGGAAGGGCCATTTTCGAGCAGAAATTCCTTAAAACTGAAGTAGCAAAACCAAAGTGCAAACGCGAGCACTGACCTGAGAATGGGCTTTGGAAAGAAACGACGGCGCGGCGAGAGAGAGCGACGAGGGCCATTTTATCGGAAGTACTGCGTGAGTCAATGTGGAGATTTTTCCAATATTTTCCGTGACTTTATCGCCAACTAGCAAAAAAACATGCGACTCTGTCGAGCTTTTAACTGCTTGGTTAATACACAAGGCCCCCCTCCTGGAAATTTCTAGGAAAATTGAAATTTTCTATTATTAAACCTGAGATAGACAGTAAAGCAGATTGACATGGGGCCGGAAGTTTAACTGTTTGAAAGCAGCCGCGCAGGCTGGGACGCTCCAGCTCAAGGCATGCCTAATGGAAAATCCCCATAAATAACAATTAACGTCAACACAATTCAATTAAATCATCCATAAAATTAGAAAATCTCCAGTGGAAATTACTCCGTTTTTAAGCAGAGAACTCGAGGCTTTATCATAAATCGAGGTTATAAATCAAGGCAAAGGTTAAATATAGAGTTGTTTTCTGATTTTGGAAAAGTATCCTGGTTTCAAAAATTTTGTATTAATTAGAGCACAGAGCCCAGAACAGTTTCCACTAACTAATTTTTACTCAATTTCCACCCCACCCCTAACTAAATCACTTAAAACCTCAAAATTTTCCCAATGTATCGCGCTCTCTTAGCATTGTAAGGCCGACGAAGACAGTAGAATTTAGTGTCAAAACGCCAGTGACGTTTGTTTTGGTTTGACATCACAACCTCTGACCACAACAACAAACTTTCTGGACACTTTCCATTAAAGAGAAATAATGGACAAGTTTAACAAGTATTTGTACCAGGTGAGCAGCTCGGTAAGCCAGACAGTGTCGCAATTATCAGGAGTGTTGCCAGGTAATCCCGTAACCAGGGAATATGAGTCCTCAGCCCACATTGCTTCCGCTGGTCCTGGTAAGTGCAATTTACTTAGTTCCTGCCTTTTCTGGCTGTTTTCAAGGTTGATCCATTTGGGAGACTTGGAAATTGATCAAGCATCCTATTCTTGAATGTACATGCAATGAACGACTAACAACATAAGTCAATAATATATCTTTGGCTTATTTTCAGGCCTTCTATGGAAAATCTACAAAGGCACGAAGCGATCAACCAAGCAGGATGCATCAATCTTTGTATTCGAAAAGCGGCAGCTGGAGAAATTTAACAAAAACGATCGAGAATTGGTGCTGGAGAGCTTAAAGCACGGAGTGCAGCAATTGACGAAAATCCGACACCCACAAGTATTAACAGTGCAGCATCCGCTCGAAGAAAGCAGGGATAGCATCGCGTTTGCCACTGAGCCGGTTTTTGCGAGTCTGGCAAACATTTTGGGTGAAACGACCAACATGCCCCAACCAGCCAACATGTCCGACTACAAGTTCTTTGATATAGAGATCAAGTATGGGCTGCTGCAGATATCTGAAGGCCTGCAGTTTTTGCACAACGATGTCAAGCTGCTGCACAAAAACATGACTCCGGAGAGTATTGTCATAAACGCTTCGGGGGTTTGGAAGCTTTTCGGCTTGGACTTTTGCGTGCATAACATCAATCCTCCGAACCAAGCGACTAATTTTCCTTTCGAAGACTATTCTCCTACTGTTCCCATTGTTTGTCAGCCTAGCTTGAATTATTTGGCGCCTGAGTGCGTTTTGAGGCAAAGCCATTCTACTGCCAGCGACATGTTTTCCTTAGGTAAACCACAACATCCAAATAATCCACCTGATTCACTACTAAACATTGATTTAAGGAATGTTGGTCTACGCCTTACATTCCCCTGGGAAACAATGTCTGTCTCCCGTTAGGGATTTGCAGCAGTTCAAATTGCGGGCCCAACAACTGAAGATTTTGAGCACTGCGAAACTGCAAGCCATCCCAGAGGAGCTGAGAGAGTTTGTTAAACTCCTTCTCAATGTTACTCCGGAGATACGACCGGATGCCCACCAGTTTATCAAGGTATTTTTAAAACATCATTTCCATTAAAGCGTCTACTTTCTTGTTCTAGATTCCTTACTTCGACGATGTGGGCGTGAAAACCCTCACTTACCTGGACTCGCTGCTCCAGTGGGACAATTTGCAAAAATCCCAGTTCTACAAAGGGCTGCCAGACGCTCTTTCGCAGCTTCCCCATCGGGTTAAACTCCAAAGGGTTTTGGCCTGCTTGGTTAGAGATTTAGGGCAGCCCACCATGGTGCCTTTCATTCTCCCCAGCATCTTTGACATTGCAAAGAGCTGCTCAAAGGAGGAGTATACGGAGCATGTGCTTCCGCACTTGAAACCTCTGATGAAACTCATCGACCCCATTCAGGTAGCTTTTGCAGTTCCGTTGCCTTTTGCGCTGATTCTAATTGCATCGGTTTGTTTGCGCAGATTCTCCTGATAATGCTGCAGCAAATGCAGCTTCTATTGAAGCTCACTCCTGCTGAGGATGTGCAGCAACATGTTCTCCCTATGTTGTATCGCGGCTTGGATTCGGATTCGCCACAAATCCACGAATTGTGCTTGTCGGTGCTGCCAACATTTGCGGGATTGTTGGATCATGCCAATGTGAAGAACAGTCTGCTGCCTAGAATTAAAAAGCTGTGCCTCAGCACCTCAACGTTAAGTGTGCGCGTGAATTGCCTTTTATGTGTCGGAAAGCTGCTGGAGCATCTGGACAAGTGGCTAGTAGTGGACGAGATCCTGCCCTTTTTGCCCCAGATTCCCTCCAGAGAACCCGCAGTCCTAATGGGCATTTTGGGCATCTACAAGATCGCAATGAACCATAAAAAGCTGGGAATCAGCAAGGAAATTCTGGCGACCAGAATATTGCCATTTTTGATCCCGCTTTGCATAGAAAACGGCTTGAGTTTGGCGCAATTTGGGGCGATCACATCGCTAGTGAAGGAAATGTTCCAAGCTGTCGAAAGCGAGCATCGCACTAAACTGCAGCAGTTGAATTCGGTAAAAGATGAACAAAAGTTGTTGAAGTCCTCGATGGCTTCCGTATCCATTGCAAAACCAGTGGAGCTTGATGAAGCTTTCAGTGATTTGGACTTGCGGAATGGCAGTGAAAGTGCAACAGAACCCAAGTTGAGTATGGAGCAGAAGCGGGCAATGACCAGGCAGCAGGAAAGTGTGAAATTGATGGGAAATCAGGGGGCGATTGAGCCCCAAAGAATCACCAGCCCTCCTAGAAGCCAGCCCAAGGACTTAACTGCGAGTTTATTGAGCGATTTTGCTGGTAGCTTCCAGCCTAACAATAACAGCATGTCGCCAGCTTTCAGCCAAACAACTGGTGGAAATATCAATTCTAGTCCGTATCTGGGAATGGCAAGTTTCAACACAAGCTTCAACGGAAATCCAGCTCCTCTAAGCCCATGGGGGGGCACGCAAAACACCTTAGCAAAGCCGCAGAATCACCAGGATTGGTCGGCTTTGGATAATCTGCTGCCTTCCAAAGGAAACAGTACGAAAAGTCCGATGAATCAAATGAAAGGCAGTTCGCATGTTCCTTTGATGCCTCAACCTTCCCCTGCTAGTAGCAGTAACAATAATCAGTTGAGTAAAAGCGATTTGTTAGATTTTCTTAGTTAAGGAGCGGCAAAAGGCTGACGAGGTTTTAGTTTAATGTTATCGATGTGCACATTTACTTAAGTGAGAACGTAATTTATTTATTTATTTAGAGACGATTGTCAGTCCAAATCAACTGCAAATAGATGCTTAATTTAATTTGAAATAAATTAGTAGAAAATCAATATTACTAGCTAAGGAGACCAATAGATGGACATTTTGCTTGTGTAGTTTTTTCCACTACTTTTACAGTTTAATGTTTTTACTCAAGAAGTATTTGGGGTAAACCATGTAACATTCCAGTTTATTAGAGTTTGTAAATATACGAGAATTGACTATTAAACCATGTGTATTTCTCTTTGGAGTTGCGGGGCTCAGAATGCCATTCTGAGCCGCATTGTAAAACTAGGAGGAAACTTTGAGGGTTTAAAGACTGACGCCAATTTCATTCAGCAAGGGAAATAGTTTCTTCACAATTCCAGCAGTTTCGTTTCGTTTCGTTTCAGCTCTTAGAGTTTCGTCCGTAAAACCGCCATCATTAGGTGATTAACCACTTATTCGAGAAATCCTATCCCAATCGATCCTAGAAGTATGTATTCACCGTTTCTCCATGTTTCTTAGCGACCAAACTGACCATATCTGACCACTCTGAACCCTCACGTACTTTTACACACATTTCCATACGGAAGAAACACGCGATCCCCTGGGCCCTTTAACTGCTATTACCGGCTTTGTGTGTTTTCCTGGGATTTCACTGGTGATTTTAGAGGCAATTTTGATTTTTTTTCAATTATTGTGGGGCTATGCAGTTAACTAGTGTCCTAATCTGGATGATTCAACATGACTAAAAAACGGACTTTTGCAGGTAATTATAAAAAAATGGTTTATTGAACTTTGGCCCGAAAATACGAGATCTATTCCAACCCGCTTGAATGTTCTCTTTAGGTGAAACTCGCGTTAAGTTTTGCATTCCTTCAGCTAAGAGAACATGCGATCCGCCCTTAAAGTTTCAGTCTGCAATGGGCCTTCTAGTTGTAGTGTGTTGGTGTTGCGGCCCCATTACTGGTGCGTTGACTAGATTTTTCCCCAGCAGTTCAACAACAGGAAAGGGTTTTTTTGCAGTTTCAGCTATTTTGGTGTTCGATTCTTCTGCTCTACTCAACCAAGTTTTGGTGCCTGCAGACGCTGCCGTCGGCTCAGTGATCTACCGGCTCAGAGCTTCTGATACGCTGTTTGACTATCCTTTGTTTTTTCAGCTGAAAGACTCGATTACTGTGGCTTTGGAGAGTCTGAATTGTACCCGGTTTAATTCGGTAAGACTTTTTTTTTAAGTGGTGAATATTGGCGCGATTTCCTGCTGAAGCACTTTAATGGGGTTTCAGGGTCTTGAGAGTGGAGTTTTTTTCTGAAAAATGGTGCAAAAATGAACCTTTTGGATTGATTAGAGGGTTTGGTGGGAATTAATTGTTGAATGGGTGTCTACTAGTACAGACAACAGCAGGATTGATTTGTAAAAAGTGGAGAAAAGGTTCAGAAAAATTAAATTTTCTGTATTTTTAAGCTTAATTCATCTGTACTAGTTGTCGATAAAATACACCTTCTAATTGCTCCCATATTTTTGTGGTCAATTTTAGAGAATGGACGGCACATTCGGTTAAAACGGAATGACAAAGTTTAAGCAGAAATTTTGAAATTTTCTCAAAACCCTTTCATAATTTCTTGCAGTTCGCTTTTCAGTTCTCCAGTCAGCGGCATATTTTTTACTATAAAACGGGGTTAAAAGCAACTCTGTAGTGCATATCGTTTGGTGGCAATTAGCTGTTAAATAACGGTCTGCAAATTGAGCCAATATTCCAGCGGTAAGGTGTGGTTTCGCTCAATTTGGAAAACCGCCCAAATCAAGCGAAAAATGCCAAAAATTTGATGTGGCGTAATGTAAAACTGCATTATTCTGTGTTCAATCTCGTAAGGAATTTTAGTAGGAATTAGAAAGTCTGAGCTGCAAGTCTGAAAATGGAAAACTGTTTTCAAATTGGGCAAAATTGCGTGCTTGAAAACCCAATGGCTGTTTTTAAAGGGAACTTTTTTCTGCAAGATGGTGCAAAACTTATCCATCTACCATAGACAGTTTGGTGGAAAATAATTGTTGAATAAAAGTCTACAAATTGGGGCAACCTTCATTCGGCAAAGTGTGATTCCATTTGGAATGTTTGCAAACATCAAGCAAAAAATGGCGAAAAATTAAACTTTCTGGATTTGGAAAATTTACTATTCTGTGAAAAATGAAACTCAAATTTATCCCCTAGCTTGACCAAATTTCTTAGCAATTCAGTTTTGAACAAAACTGAATTTTTTTTTCAAAATTATATTACAAAATATGAGCGTCATTTATGAAAAATGTTTCAAACTTACTCAAAAATCCCCAAATAAAAGTTATTAAAAGTTTTTAGAGGACGTTATCTCTGTTAAACTGTGCGAAGCTTTCTAAAGTCCCCAAGTGAATGAAGAATGATAAAATCGCTACAAGCGATTTTATCCGACAAACTATTACATTTCAAACTTCATCCATTCTTTAGCTCAAAAAATAACCCTTCTAACTTTCCTTAGATCACATCACGCTTTTTTGTTCATCGACTTAAGATTTTCAAAAAATGTAAGAAATCGAAGATATCTATGTTTTAAATTAAATTGTAATCCTTTAGAAATTCCCAAAGTCAATGAAGTTACAAGTCAATTTGTCCGGCAAAATTTAATATTTAAAATGTTAATCACACTTTAGCTCCAGTCGAGCTCTTTTGTACATCGACTTTAGATTTTACAAAACTGAAGAAAAAGAAGATGATTATTCTTCAAATGTCATGCCGCAGCATTCGCAAGTCCCGAAGTTAATGAAGCCACAAGCGATTTTATCCGACAAACTTTCAAATTTCAAACTTGAACCATTCTTTAGCTCACACCGCGCTCTTCCGTTCATCGACTTAAGATTCTCCAAAAACTGAAGAAGGAGAAGATCTCTATGTTTCAAATGAGATTTTGAAGCTTTGGAACTTCCCAAAGTCAATGAAGTTACAAGTCAATTTTTCCGCCAAAATTTAATATTTAAAATGTTAATCACACTTCTCCAATCTCCAATCGAGCTCCAATCGAGCTCTTCTATTCATCGATTTCGGATTTTACAGAAAATTGAAGAAAAAGAAGATAATTATTCTTCAAATGGCATGCCGCAGCATTCGCAAGTCCCGAAGTTAATGAAGCTACAAGCGATTTTATCCGACAAACTTTCAAATTTCAAACTTCAACCATTATTTAGCTCACACCGCGCTCTTCTGTTCATCGAGTTAAGGTTCTTCAAAAACGGAAGAAGGAGAAGATCTCTATGTTTCAAATGAAATTTTGAAGCTTCAGAAATTCCCAAAGTCAATGAAGTTACAAGTCGATTTATCCGGCAAGCTATAAAATTTCAAATGTTAATAACACTTTAGGTCGGATCGAGCTCTTTTGTTCATTGATTTCAGCTTTTACAAAAAAAACTGAAGCAAAAGATGATTATTCTTCAAATAACATGCCAAAGCTTTCGAAAGGCCCCAAGTCGATGAAGCTACAAGCGATTTTATCCGATAAACTTTCAAACTTCAACCATTCTTTAGCTCAAAAATAGCCTTTTAACTCATCTGGGGTGATGGTAATTAATTGTTGAATAAAAGCCTGCCAACTAGATTAAAATTCAACCGGCAAAGTGCGCTCTTCATTTGACTGAAAATTTGCTAAAATGGAAAGACAAAGTGTGAGCGGTGATTTTGAAAAATGCTCTAAAGTTGTAAAAAAATGCAAATTGCATGAAAAATTGTTTTTTAAAAAATTGAATTTATTTGTAGGTATTTATCTTAGAAAAAACTGCAAATTTCTTTAAAGTCAGCGACAAATTTTAAAAAATCTCTAAAATTTATCTGAAAAACTTTCAACATGAAAACATTATAAATTTATCTGAACTGCTGTTTGCCCTGTAAAATAGTGCAAAAATTAACTCTTCAACTTACATAGTTTGAACGTAATTCGTTGTTGAAGAGAAGTTCCCAAATGGGGCCAACATTTAACCGGCAAAGTGCGCTGTCTACATATTTGGAAAGTTGCCAAAATTTAAGAAAAAAATTGCGCAAAAATTGGATTTTTGGGATTGGTTAACCCCAATATCCAAATTGCACAACAATTTTTTTTTTAAAGACTGAATTTTTTTTCATGTATTTTTCTTAGGAAAAACTGCAAATTTCTGCAAAAAATCTGAGCGCCAAATTTAAACAAATCTCTAAAATTTATCAGAAACTCTCGGCTTGAAAACGCTATAAACGTGTTTGAGTAAAATAGTGTAAAAACTATCCCTTCAACTTATTCAACTTATATGGTTTGGAAATAATTAATTGTTGAAGGATTGGGGCAACATTCAATCTGTAACGTGCGCTCTCTATTTAGCAAATTGTCAAAAAAATCCCGCAAACGCGGTTTTGTTAATATATAAAATACACCATATTTTGTAAAAAAAATCGCTATAATATGTTTCTTCGCGAATCTCCACCGTTTGTTAAGTTATTTAGGAAAAATAGCTGCAAATCCTGTTGAAGTTGAGTACTAAATTCTGATGACCAATTTTGGAAACTTGTCTAGATCTTCCCAAAAGTGTTCTACTCAAAAACACTCTAATGATACATAGGGTAACAGCTTTTCTATAAAATGAAGGTAAAATTAATCCCCGAATGATTTTCAGTTTTTCCGTAATTAATTGTTGAATAACGTCTGTAAATTGCGATTGCAGTTTGCAAAGTTTCAACATAAGTGACCCCACAAAAGGTGCTTCAAACGCCATTCCATTTCATCAAAATGTTAAAAATAATATTTTAATCTTAAATATTTCAATTTCATACTTCTTTGGCTTCTTTGGCCTCCTAAAGCCCTAGATCTAACTCACCTAGACTGCTTTTGTTGCCTCCGGAGAAAAAAAAGGACACAAATTGATGCACGCAGGGCGAAGAGATGTAACTGTGCAAAAAATGTGCATTTTTCAGCGAGGTCTGAAATCTATGTCTTAATTAGAACACAATTGCAATAGTACTGAGGATTTAGGACAAAAATCCTAATTCCTGAAAGGTTGTAGAAATGTTTCGTAAATTCTTCTGCAGCCTTTTCTTTTAGAAGCTTTGTATTAGGCAATTCAGGTGTTTTTTGCACTTCCCGTCTAGTAATGAAACGCTTTACCTCATAGGTGTGCCAAGCGAACTTAATTCTGAAAAAGAAACTGGAACCTGGCCGAATTTACGACTTTAGAGTGGAGGTGCAGAACCAAAGAGGCCAATTGGCAGCGATGAATTGTTCTTTTCAAGCCACGAATGCGACCACGCCTATAGAGCGCATTTTTCCTGGCGCTCCCACCTTACTGGCAATCTCGGAAAATGCCAGAAGAAACACAGAATTAGGTAGGAGGCTTTTGTTGATTGATTTTTCAGTTAATTCCCAATTTATAGTTTTAATTAGGGGAATTGAGTTGGTTTTTTAATCGCTCTGCGCTATAATCTATCAATTTCTAGCCAAACGTCGGAGAGCAAGACTGTGAGAGTTGATTTACGTTTGATAGTAGGTTGGAGTTAATCATTTGAAAGGAAGGTTGGTTTTCAAAATCCCAAAACGATTGGAATTTATTAAACGTTGACACAGTTTTAGTTGGATGTTTCCAAAATCTTTCATCCGTTTGCAAGCAGTGATTTTTTTAAATGTGGTTTTGTTTTAAATAGAAACGCTTTGGGGCTAAGGTATAAAAGGCCTCTGAAAGTTTGCTAAATGTTTAAAATTGATTGAATTTTCTTTAGTTTATTTATACCTTGAAGCTTCCGTAGTACTTTGTAAAATATTCCAGCCGATTCCGGTATTCGTTTGACCGCTACGATTTTTGTTCAATAAAGTGCAGCTGACAATGGTATAATTTTGTGGTAAAGTTTGAAGGTTTCTCAAAAATCTCGTTTGTTGACTATTAATTGAACTTTTGTTTATGAATAGTTCAAAGGTTTAGCAAAGCAGTGGAAAATTTTGATGCGGTTTGTTTCATTTGTTTGAGAGCTTAAATTGTTTTTATAGTGGTACGATGTTTTAAAGTAATAATTTTAAGCAACGCACTAGAGGAATTTGCTTTGCACCTAGATTTAGTTGAGTTTTCTTGAATTGAAATAAACCTGCAGATTTTGAGAATTTGTTGTAACATTTCGAAGTTCGTCGTGCTCTTCATTTGGGCGCTACGATTTTTTCTTAGGAATGATGCAGTTGACAATAGTATCATAAATATTCAAGCACCGATTTAGAACTTTAACGAATTAAAAATTTTGTTTTACTTGGAATTCATTAAATTTCAGCAAATTTATAGATCGATGTTTCAGAATGACATCCGTATTATGAAATTTACTTGTGTTTACTTGTTTAAGAGTTGTGATTTTTTAAAGTTTGGGTACATATTTCAATAGTAGCAACTTCAAGCTAAGATTTGTAGGATTCTCAATAAAATGTCTAGCACTTTTTTAGCACTGAATTAATTAGGCTTTCTTTCACTGATAGCCTGGTGTTTTTAAAGAACGTCGTAAAATTTTTAGGTCTGTCCTCCTTTTAGTTTAAGAAGAGCGATAGAGTTTGCAACAGAAAATTTTTGAAAAATTAGTTTTTGCGTTAATTGAATTGAACTTCTGTAGACTGATAGCACATTGACTTACAAAAACACTCGAAAATTAAAAAGATGTTTAATTTATGTGCAAGAGAGATGCAAATTTTTGAAATGTTGGGGCAAGTTTTGCATGGCAACATTTTGAATATCAGGTTTAAGGGTTTCGAATAAAAATACTTGGCATCTGGATTTGATCGAGTTTTGCTCAATTTACAGCCTGATGTATCGACAATCGACAATTCGAGGTAAATTTTTGACATTCTCCTGATGTGCGCCTAAAAACTATGGCTTTTTTCGTCAGGGTGGAGCAGCTAGCTGACCATAGTATATACAGGGTTGCTCATTAGTGCGTCAAAGTGCGATATCTCAGTAAATATGAAGTTTACAAGAAAATTCGTCCAACGAAAGTTTTTCACGTTTAAAAGGTCCACATTCTAAAATTACTTTCCAATATACAGGGTGCATCATAAACGTGTGGTAGTTACCAACTCTGGTTTTTTAAATGAAACCCCCCCTTTTTTTTGTTATTTTCAGATTGGCCGTTCAATTTTACTTTATGTTTGTTTCAACCGTTTTACCTGAAAAATTTACGATTTCCGAGTTATTCGTAAAAATGTGAAAGTTTTGACAGCTACTGGGTTCCACAGAAATCGATGCTGTACACTACCCGCTGCGAATTTTGGAAAACAGTTTTCAACGATTCTAACAGAACATCATGATCTACG